ATCCCCTTTCCCTCGGGCCTCCTGCCCTTTCTTGGGATAAGACCTGAGCCCAAGGTCGCCTACTGTGGGTCAGCCTGCCATGTAGGCAACGTCCCAGTGGGCGCATGATCATGCTTTGATTCAATTGGCAATGGCTTTAGAGGTTGTGGCAAAATTTCATTTGGGTTGCTAGGCCACCTTTAGGCTCTGATTCAACTCAGAACTGAAAGCCAATGAGGTTGCCTGAAGAATTTGAAGAAATAATCAAAGAGTCAGGATGGGGCTTTTAGTTTGTAAATGGGCACCACAGGTTGATTTTTATCTCATAAATCTTTATCTGCATTTTTAAGTCATTGTGGATGGAACTCTGCAATGCCGATGATTGGTGGCCCCTGGTGGCAGACCAGTTTTATAATGTGAAGTTGCTGGAGAAGAAATTGGAGTTTGTGTGGAGGTTGCTAGAGGGAGGAGTTGGGAGGTTCTTCATCAGGAAATAGTGGCAAAAATTGAGTTGGTGATGAATGATTCTGAGAAAGGAAAGGAAATAAGAAAGAAAGCTTTGGAAGTTAGGAGATTATTGACAATTCCATTAAAGATGAAGAAATTTTAAGGGTCATCTATGAAACCGTGGATCATTCTTGAATGCTGTATTAATGACAAAAGGAAGATCCAACAATGAGATTTAAGCATAAAATTATGTACGGTATATTGTATAACTTCGATTCTTGGATGCTTATATGTATCTAATCATGTTTATTTATTTATTTTTATTTTTAAAGATTAAGAAAGATTGACAAAAGAAGTTGTGAGAGTTTTTTTTGGTTTTTTGTTTTTAAAAACAAAGAATATAACTATCTTGTGACATTGTTTTAGATAAAACGAGTAGAATTGTTTTCAAAAATAATATTAAAAACTGATGTAAAATCAAAAAACGATAGTAGTCGTTTTTATAACTCTTTAATCTCAAACACAATATAAAGAATTATATACATTTGTTGTTTGAGTGTTTTATTATTGGTTAACAAGTTCTGTTGATTGGTCGGGCTTCAAATGGCCCAAAGCTTGTCTCTCCAGGTTCTCCAATCTCCATGACAGTCCAATATATATCTTAATTGAGCTTTAACTGAGTCCAAAGCCTTTCTTTTTAGGTTTCTATGGGGTTTTAAAATAGAGCTTAGCCAACAATCTGTTATTAATTCTAGTGCTGAATTATATACCTCTGTTAATTTAAATATTCAAAGTGATTGAAACCAATTTACCATTCATTGATGTATAGGTAGTAGTAGTTGGACCTGTTGGTTGTTTTACTTAATTTGACATAATATTAAGAAATGAGATGATTAGACCTGATTTAGACAATTATATTTTTATAATGAAATACTGTGAAGCCAAAACGACGTCGTTTCACTTAAGTCCATTGGAAGCCAAACGGGGTCGTTTCATTAAGGCCATTACTGAAACTTAGTCGCAGATCAAGACAGATCCAAGGGTTGGGATTACGAATGCAACATATATAAGAAAGCACCATTGATGAAAACGTAAATGCTTTTTGTTAATCGGGTATTAGGGTTTGCAAAAGAGAAAAAAACTAGGTTGTTTTTGCTGGGTCTTTCTGGTGTAATATGGGTTGATTGTGAGAGAGGGTTTGCGTTTCCTTCTAGAGGCTGGTTTTGTCTTTTCTTGCAGATTATTGAGAGATTCTTGAGTGTAGGCCTTGGTTGGGTGTATTTGTTTTGGCAGATTTGTATGATTGTCTTCTTGTAATCGTTGAATATCTTCTTAGTGCTGTGAGTGTCCAATTTCGGAGCTCAACTGGACGTAGTCTATCCAAGATTGGATAGACGAACCACATAAAATCGTGTCTTGTGTTGTGTGTGTGATTCTTTGATCTTTAATCTTGTGTGGATTATTTGTATTGCGATTTGCTTATCAGGCTTAGGTTATAACAGTGGTATCAGAGCTAAAGTTCTAAGAGGATTTAGGGTTAGAAATCGTTTGGTCTTCTTGACGAATTCTAAAATTAGGGTTTGTCAGATTTGAGGGTTTTTTTATTTCAAGATTCTAGATCGTTAGGACTTCGATCTTGCTAAGTCTTGGGGTTAATTCGTGAGATTAAGTTTAAACACAAGAGATCGATGAAATTCGTACAAATCCTAAAATTAGGGTTTATCATTTGGGGTTTTCGAATTAAAGGCTTATAGGGCTTTAGGGTTTTCGAATTGTCCTTGAATCATGGTCGATTGGTTAGTCTGAGTCACAAACACGAGTCAGGGGAAAATCTGGGTATGGTCTAAGGGGCTGTATGTAGTCTTGTCACTTTAGTCTTGTTTGTGTCTTGCCTGTGTATACAGTTTAAGGGTATTTAGGCTGGAACACCAGTAACTGCTTTAAAAACTGTCTGGCAGTAATGGCAACTTCTGGTATAACAATGCCACGTACCCTTTGATTGTTCTGCCCTGTTATTCAATACGACACCTACTCGTATGGAGATCTCCCAATATGATGGAAGATCGATTTAAATACATGGAAAAAGAAGATAAATCCCTTTTTTCCCATAACAAAGTCGGCTTCCCTAGAAAAAGATGCACCAAGTAGTCTGAAGAGAAACTGAAAAAGAAGGCTGAAGTGGATGAGGAGGAGCCTACAATCTAATCATAAGGAATATGTCCATGCAGTCCTGCGAAAGGTTGATGGCATGAAGACCGCTCACGCTCTAGGGTAAACTCGAATCCCTTTATGTCTTACAGTCTGCACCAACCTTACATTTCTTAAAGAGCTTTATTTTCTTATAAAATGGATGTTACTAAGTCTGTAGAAGAAAACCTTGATAGTTTCTTAGATGACATAGTATTGAAAGGTACAGATCAGGAGTTGGGAGATTCCAGTTTGGTGTGATATTGTTAATTCACTGCCGATGATTGGGTGGCCACCGGTGGCAGACCAGTTTTATATGTAGTTGCTGGGAAGAAATTGGAGTTTGTGTGGAGGTTGCTAGAGGGAGGAGTTGTGGTTTCTTCATCGGAAATAGTGGCAAAAATTGAGTTGGCGATGAATGATTCTGAGAAAGAAGGAAATGGAATGAAAGCTTTGGAATTGAGGAGATTATTGACAATGCCATTAAGATGAAGAAATTTTAAAGGGTCATCTACGGAACCATGGATCAATTCTTGAATCTGTATAAATGCAAAAGGAAGATCCAACAATGAGATTTAAGCATAAAATTATGTACTGGTATATTGTATAACTTCGATTCTTGGATGCTTATATATATGTAAGATCATGTTTGTTTATTTATTTTTATTTTTAAAGATTAAGAAAGATTGACAAAAGGAGTTGTGGGGTTTTTTTATTATTTAAAAACAAAGAATATAACTAATCTTATGAAATTGTGTTTGGTAGAAACGAATAGAATTGGTTTTCTGAAATAATTTTCAAATAGAATCCTAGAAACTATTATAAAATTAAAAAATGATTAAAAGTCACTTTTCACAGTTTTTTATACCCTTTAATCAGTTTTTAATAAACGTATTTTCAAATATTATATATTTGGTCTCTCGTGCGGACCTTTCTATCTTCTATCCAATGGATTTAATGTTATTGATTAACACTAATTGATAAAAACTCAAACAAAATTATCTAGAACTATAAAAACATTTGGGCTCCGTTTGATTCATTCTTCCAAATAGCATTCTACGTTTTCCAAATAAAGTTAAACAGTAAAATTGGCTTATTTTCAAAATATTATTCTATATTATCTAATTTCTTTTAAACCCCCTAAATTTGATAATTTAACCAAACACCCCCTTTTTTCAAAATTGCAAAAACACTCCAGCAACCCACATTTACTAGATTCCGGCCACCATTACCTAAACCCGGTCAAAATCTGGTATAATGGCGCACTACTGACTGAATCTAGCAGGTAGTGCGCCAATCTAGCCTTTTTCGGCTAGATTCATGGTGGATCTGGCCGAAAAAGGTCAGATCTTTGGCCGTCATTGACCACCAAATGTGGCCAGATTTGGCCGTCAATGGCCAGATCTAGCCGTAGATCTGGCATTTTTCGGCCAGATCCACCGTAGATCTGGCCAGAAAAGGTCATATCAGCTCACGACCTGCAAGATCCAGTCGGTCATGCGTCAATACAAAAACTCAGGCCACCCTCCGGTGGTGGTGGCCGGCTATCCGTATTTAATGTGTGGGTTAGGGATATTTTTGTTAACTTTTAATATTTTATTATAGGGGTGTTTAGTAAATAAAAAAACATAGATGGTATTTTTATTAATTTCTAAATTCTACATCGTAATATTCACCCAATTTAATTTTTTTCAAAATATTATTCTAAAAAGTATCAGAATAATGAATCAAACAGACTTACTATTATTGATTAACATAGATGTGTTAATTGATCGGGCTTCAAATGAGCCCAAAGCTTGTCTCTCCAAGGTTCTCCAATCTCCATGACAGTCCAGCTTTAATTGAGTCCAAAGCCATTCTTTTAGGTTCTATGGGGTTTTAAAATAGAGCTTAGCCCAACAATCTGCTATTAATTCTAGTGCTGAATGTTACATACCTCTGTTAGTTTAAATATTCAAAGTGATTGAAACCAATTTGACAATATTATTGATGGATTATATTTTTATGAGCAAGAGTCAAACAACGAGAGTTCAATTTGGTTTTGGATTGATATCAATTGCGTGGACACTTTTTACAATGTTTCTCTCGTCACCAATGATGTATTGGGCTTTACCATTCTTTGATCATTAATGACGTTTTATGAAAAAACGGATCATCCTCTCCCTAGCTCAACGACATAAAAAATACTCAATTTTCCACATATATATATATTCACTTTTTCATACAAAATGAGGGGAAGAAAAAAGTGAAATAAAAAGTTAAACTTATTATATTCACTTTCCTATTTATTTTAAACTTAGCCATTAATTAAATGTCTTTCAGCCCCATCCCATATTTCTTCACACTACAACAAACTTGCCAATAAATCTAGATCGGATTGACCTTAGTATACTCATCTCTTCTTCATCCTCATCTTCCGGTTCTTGCTTTCTGATCATCAACACAACAATGGCACAAAAGAAAGAGAACATAGTGATGTTTCCTTTCATGGCACAAGGTCATATCAACCCTTTCCTAGCTTTAGCCCTCCGGATAGAAAAGACAAAGAAATTCACCATAACTTTTGTTAACACCCCTTTGAACATCAAGAAACTCAGATCATTTCTCCCTTCAAACTCCTCCATTCATCTCCTTGAAATCCCTTTTAATAGCTCAGATCATGACCTCCCTCCTAATTCTGAAAACATGGATTCTCTTCCATATCATTTTCTTATCAATATCTTTCAAGCTTCTTTATCTTTTAAACCCCATTTCAGGAAACTTATCTCCAATCTTATCCAGGAAAAAAAAGGACAAAAACCAGTTTGTCTCATCTCAGACATGTTCTTAGGATGGTGTGAAGAGATAGCTCAAGAGTTTGGTATCTTTCATGCTATATTTCTTGGTGGTGGTGGTTTTGGCTTTGCTTGTTACTACTCTTTGTGGGTAAACCTACCTCATCGGAGCACAGATTCTGAAGAATTCGTCTTGCCGGATTTTCCTGAAGCTTCTCTTTTTCATGTTACTCAAATGACAGATTTTTTGAGATCTGCGGATGGTAGTGATTCATATTCAAGCTTTCTAAGGAAAACGCTTTCTCAATGGAGTAAAGCTGATGGAATATTGTTCAACACTGTAGAGGAGATTGATAAGCTTGGACTAACGTATTTTAGGAGAAAATTTGGTCGACAGGTTTGGCCTGTTGGGCCTGTTCTTTTGACTCCGGGAAGCCAAGCTCGAAGCAGAAGAGATTTTGGAATCTCTCCAGAGGAATGTAAAAAATGGCTTGATAAGAAACCTTCTTGTTCAGTTATCTATGTTTCATTTGGTTCAATGAACACAATATCAGCATCTCAAATGATGCAATTGGCAATGGCTTTAGAGGGTTGTGGCAAGAATTTCATTTGGGTTGTTAGGCCACCATTAGGCTTTGACATAAACTCTGAGGTTTGTGGGATTCTTTGATCTTTAATCTTGGTTGTGATATTTGTATTGCGAATTTGCTTATCAAGCTTAGTTATAACATATAAGTAGTAAAATAACATGTAGGAGAAAGGACAAAAGTAGAGAGAGGAAATTATTAAATAATTGTGTGATTAACTAGCAAGGAGAGTTCAATTTGGTTTGGGACAGTTTAATTACTTTTTACAATGTTTCTCACGTCACCAATATGTATAGGCTTTACCTTCTTTTGATCATTAATGACGTTTAGGAAAAGACGATCATCCTCCCCTAGCTCAACAACATAAAAATACTCTTTCTCCTCATCCTCTCCCTAGCTCCTTCTCTACTCATATTTCTCTTGGTTCTTACCAGCAACAGCAATGGTAATAAGCCCACCAACAAAGAGACATAGTGATGTTCCCATTCATGGCGCAAGGCCATATAATCCCTTTCCTAGCTTTAGCCCTTCGCATCGAAAAAACAAACAAATACACCAAACTTTTGTTAAACCCCTTCAAACATCAAGAACCCAGATCACTCTCCCTTCAAACTCCTCCATTCATCTCCTCGAATCCCTTTTAATAGCTCAGATCATGACCTCCCTCCTCACACTGAGAACACCGACTCAGTTCCCTATGATCTTGTTCCCAACGCTTTTGAAGCTTCTTTATCTTTCAAATCCCATTTCCGAAACCTCATCTCCAAGCTTTTCCAGGATGAAAATGGCATAAACGTCCGCTTTGTATCATCTCAAGCATGTTTTGGATGGTGTGCGGAATCGCTCATGGTTTGGCTTGTTTCATACTATATTTTTGCAGGTGGTGGCTTTGGCTTTGCTTGTTACTACTCTTTTGTGCTAAACCTTCCACATAGCAACTCAGATTCTGATGAATTTGAGTTGCCTGATTTTCCTGAAGCTTCTACTCTTCAGTTACTCAGATGTCAGATACTTTAAGAGCTGCTGATGGATGATCTTTTCATTTTTTTGTGAAGAAAGTGTTTCCTCTTTGGGTCAAAGCTGATGCAATTTTGGTTAACACAGTTGGAATTTGACAAGACAGGATTAAACTATTTCAGGAGAAAAATCGGCCGACCGGTTTGGCCTGTTGGGCCTGTTCTTTTCTCTTCAGGAAACAAAGCTCGAGCTGGTAAAGAGTTTGGTCTATCACAAGAGATTTGCAAAAATTGGCTTGATAAAAAACCTTCTTGTTCAGTTCTCTATGTGTCATTTGGGTCACAGAACACCATATCTTCATCACAATGATGCAATTGGCAATGGCTTTAGAAGCTGTGGCAAGAATTTTATATGGGTTGTGAGACCACCAATTGGCTTTGACATAAACTCAGAATTTAAAGCCATGAATGGTTGCCTGAAGGATTTGAAGAAAGTCAGAGACTCAGGCCGTGGACTAGTAGTTCATACATGGGCACCCCAATGGAGATTTAATCTCACAAATCTTTATCTGCATTTTTGAGTCATTGTTGGCTGGAACTCTGTGCTTGAATCACTGAGCCGCGGAGTGCCGAGGATTGGGTGGCCAATGGCGGCAGAGCAGTTCTATATGTGAAGTTGTTGGAGAGAAGATTGGAGTATGTGTGGAGTTTGCAAGAGGCAAGAACTGTGAATTTTTCATGAGGAAATAGTGGCGAAAATTGAGTTGGTGATGATGAATGAGAAGGAGAAAGAAAAGGAAATGAAAAGAAAGCTTGGAAATTAGGAAGTATTACCAATGCAACCAAAGATGAGGAAATTTTTAAGGGTCATCTATGGAAGCCATGGATCAATCTTGAATGCTGCATCGAAGCTAAGGGAATCCATGGGGCTCCTCTGTCAGTTCATGAAGAAAAATCTTGCATTTGCATTAATTAAATAACATCAAGAAAGTAATACTGTCTCTAATCACTGTACTTTGTAAGATCCCTATACTATGATTAAGAGTGCTTGCCCAAGATTATAATTAATTTTCCTTTAGGTAAACTATTGCATATATTTTAAATTTGTGAATTAATTTACAATCATTCATCTATGGCGGGCAATGCTTTCATTTCTAAGTTACGAAATTGATATTAAAATTTTAGGCTCCGACATTTCAAAAGAAGAGATATAGAGTGAAATTTGTGACCACATACTCCAGACCCCAGCTAGAATAATTCAACCTGCAGGTTGCTTCATTGTCCTCTTCTTTCTTCATTATTAAACCCTCTTCCTCCTCACTCACTCCTTCCTCTTTTATTCTCAATACAACAACGGTATATTTTCATTCAAGGCACTAGCTTGGCTCTTCTCATAGAGATAAAAAAGAAACAGAGCAGAGAGCTTGAGAAGTTTGGTCTATGGGACCTATTATTAAAAAAGCTGTGGTTTTGTCAAAGAGGAAATGTGCTGCCTGACCTTTGACCTACCAGTTTAAATTTGTGACGGGGCCGGGACTAATTTGAAAAATGACAGTGGCTATATTAGCATCACTTACTATTATTTCTGTTTTGAGGTTTTGAAGAAATGGGATGTTTATATTAGTTGAGCTTACTCGCACGTATAATTTTGTGATTGATAGTCATAATTTAAAAATTACGTGATAATAATATATCAATTGATGTTACATAATAACTTTATTTTTTCATACCATTCTAATAATGTGTGTTAGATCAATTATTGATCTTATATTTTTCTGTCACAATAAAGGTGTTGTGTAGGAAATTAGATTATAATTTGTTGCATTATTTTGGTGGCATGAATTGAGAAAAAGAAAGCATGCACACTGAGAAGGTAGGTTTTGAAAAAAGTGAAAGTAACGATAATGATAGAGGGAGTACATAAAATTACAAGATTCGCTTAGTTTTTGATAGGAACCCATTCCCAAATTGATATGAATTGGCTGAACATAGGCTTTTGATAGGAATTGGACCAAGCAATGGTCCTTCTATGAGCTTAGGTATAATCCTCCTTGAAAAACTGGCTTGTTAAGGAAGGATGCCGAAGTCCTTATAAACCACATCACTCCCCTTTTCCTTTTCAACGCGGGATCCTAATATATAATTACACGCTTCCGCAACCGATACTTTGGCCTCTTTACCTTTGTCGGCCTTTTTATCCATTAGGTGACTATGCAGATCCCCTTTCCCTCGGGCCTCCATGCCTTTTCTTGGGATAATAGCCTGCCCAAGGTCAGCCTACTGTGGGTCAGCCTGCCATGTAGCAACGTCCCAGTGGGCGCATGATCATGCTTTGATTCAATGGCAATGGCTTTAGGGTTGTGGCAAGAATTTCATTTGGGTTTCTAGGCCACCTTTAGGCTCTGATCAAACTCAGAACTGAAAGCCAATGAATGGTTGCCTGAAGAATTTGAAGAAATAATCAAAGAGTCGAGTGTGGGCTTTTAGTTTGTAAATGGGCACCACAGGTTGATTTTTATCTCATAAATCTTTTCTGCATTTTTAGATCATTGTGGATGGAACTCTGCAATGCCGATGATTGGGTGGCCACTGGTGGCAGACCAGTTTTATAATGTGAAGTTGCTGGAGGAAAAATTGGAGTTTGTGTGGAGGTTGCTAGAGGGAGGAGTTGGAGTTCTTCATCGAAATAGTGGCAAAAATTGAGTTGTGATGATGATTCTGAGAAAGGAAAGGAAATAAGAAGAAAGCTTTGGAAGTTAAGGAATTATTGACAATTCCATTAAAGATGAAGAAAATTTTAAAGGGTCATCTATGGAAACCGGGATCAATTCTTGAATGCTGTTTAATGACAAAAGGAAGATCCAACAATGAATTTAAGCATAAAATTATTGTACTGGTATATTGTATAACTTCGTTCTTGGATGCTTATATGTATCTAAGATCATGTTTATTTATTATTTTTATTTTTAAAGATTAAGAAAGATTGACAAAAGAAGTTGTGAGAGTTTTTTTTTGGTTTTTTGTTTTTAAAACAAAGAATATAACTAATCTTGTGACATTGTTTTAATAAAAACGAGTAGAATTGTTTTCAAAAATAATATTAAAAACTGATGTAAAATCAAAAAACGATAGTAGTCGTTTTTTATACTCTTTAATCTCAAACAAATTATCAAGAATTATATAACATTTGTTGTTTTGAGTGTTTATTATTATTGGTTAACAGAGTTCTGTTGATTGGTCGGCTTCAATGAGCCCAAAGCTTGTCTCTCCAAGGTTCTCCAATCTCCATGACAGTCCAATATATATCTTAATTGAGCTTTAACTGAGTCCAAAGCCTTTCTTTTTAGGTTTCTATGGGGTTTTAAATAGAGCTTAGCCCAACACTTGTTTTTAATTCTAGTGCTGAATATATATACCTCTGTTAATTTAAATATTCAAAGTGATTGAAACCATTTGACCATATCATTGATGGATTATGTAGTAAAGTTGGACTGTTGGTTGTATTACTTAAATTTGACATAATAATTAAGAAATGAAGAATTAGACCTGATTTAGATCAATTATATTTTTATAATGAAAATACTGTGAAGCCAAAACCGGATCGTTTCACTTAAGCCATTGGAACCAAAACGGGGTCGTTTCATTTAAGGCCATTCCTGAAACTAGTCGTCAGATCAGAACAGATCCAAGGTTGAGGATTACGAATGCAGACTATATAAAGAAACAACAGTGATGAAAACGTAGAATGCTTTTTGTTAATCGGTATTAGGGTTTGCAAAAGAGAAAAAAAACTAGGGTTGTTTTTGCTGGGTCTTTCTGGGTGTAATATGGGTTGATTGTGAGAGAGGGTTGCGTTTCCTTCTAGAGGCTGGTATTTGTCTTTCTTGCAGATTATTGAGAGATTCTTGAGTGAATAGCCTTGGTTGGGTGTTAATTTTGTTTTGGCAGATTTGTATATTGTCTTCTTGTAATCGTTGAATATCTTCTTAGTGCTGTGAGTGTCCATATTCGGAGCTCAACGTGGACGTAGTCTACCAAGATTGGATAGACGAACCACGATAAATCGTCTTGTGTTGTGTGTGATTCTTGATCTTTAATCTGTGTGTGATTATTTGTATTGCGAATTT